ATCCAAGAAAAATATACCTTAAGTTGCAGCCCTTAGAAATAGAATTGTGGGCGGAGGGGTAGGGGATGACTTGTGGGTTAGAGCTTAAAACTAATTAGGTTTTGCCTATGTATTTTAATTCATTTATTGAGTACCTATTATGTGCTTGGTGTGCTGAGAAAACAAGTGGATAAAGATACCTTTTAAGATACCTTTTGGTGCAGGAGATAAGCTCATTACAATTGAAAGTGTTACTCACCTGGCTGGCGTGGCTCAGTGGTTGAACATTGACCTATGAACCAGGAGGTCAGGATTCAATTCCAGGTCAGGGCACATGCCCAGGTTGTGGGCTCTATCCCCAGTGGGGGGCATGCAGGAGGCAGCCGATCAATGATTCTCATTATTAATGTTTCTATCCTCTCTCCCTCTCTGAAATCAATAAAAATATATTTTTTAAAAAGTGTTACTCAAATGATGTATAGGTAAGATACCTACTGTGCAGCTTCATGGGGAACATTGCTTTTATACCAGACCGAGGAAGACTCTCTAGAGAGAGAGGTAACAGTTGGGATACATACAAAGATACACACATACATGCACACACATGCATATACACATTCATATATGTGCATGCATTCATGTATGTATGTATACACGTATAAAATAATTTCTTTCTGAAGGGGAAGGGTTGTCTGCTTTATGTGAATTATTTATCCTTAGTGTCAGCATTCAAATCTAGATGCTTGATAAGATTCAGAGTGCAAAATGATCACACAAAGAACTGGTTTTAGTACATGTGTATTTATTTTCCTCCCAATTCACATTTATGCTTTGGGTACTTTTGTATTTTTGGTTTCCTGGTAGTTACTTCTGTTTATTTGGGGGGGAAGCATCCATGAAGCTTATTCCTAGCTTAGAATTTGTATTCGGCCAAAGAAAACCTTTGCACTTGCCACTGAAATGCATCCACTTCTGGGCTGGAATGCCCCAGCTGTTGCCCAGCCTCCGACGGCACACCAGGCAGTCAGGACTGAGAATGAGGCCTCAGATCCCAGGCCCATGAAACTGACGGGGGCATTTCAAGTCGACAGGATGCAATTACCCAAATTGAAATGAGGCCAGGGGCTTATCAGGAGGCCCTTCCCATCAGCTGGGGAAAAGGATCCCCAGATATTTAACAAGGGCAAGTGGTCAGGATCTTCATTGTAGGAGTCATTTCAAAGGCAGGCACTTCAAAACAATACTAAAGGAAAACCATACCCAATGTAAAAATCACATCCCTTCAGTGGAGAATAAATCACATGAAAGCCTTGAGAAGCTCAGTCCTTTCCTGTTTGGGGAGGAAAGAAATGTTTATGGATGGGGAACATAAATATTTCTACATCAGCTCCTCTTAGCACGGATAATGTACAATATTATAATAGGCCATTGGTTATCCGGGAATGGGCAGAAAGTTATTCCCCAAATCAAACATACCGAATTCCATACACTTATCCCTGATCATATAGATAGACCCTTTCATTACAAACTTGTGGAACAACACTGTGTGGTTCTTCTAGGGCAACGGTCAGCAAACTGCCACCCCTTGAGTGTGGCTCTTCCACAAAATACCACGTGCGGGTGCGCACGTACAGTGCGATTGAAACTTTGTGGCCACATTCAAAGAGCTGCGTGTGGCTCATGAGCCACAGTTTGCCGACCTCGGTTCTAGGGTCTTTGACACAAGTGTTTCATTACCAAGAAACTGAGCTAATTTTTAGAGCTTGCAGCAGAAATAAATAAGCTGGGCTGGACGGCAACTGTGTAACGATCACACGTGGAACCCACAGGTCCATTTGAGCACAGTGATCCCCTGCCTGTGTCCCCTGTCACTGGTAACATGCACACCCCGTCTCCTGGAGGGAATAGAGAAATCTTAGTCTCCAGGCCCTATGAGCCCTAACGTTGGCACAAGCTCTCCACAAGTCAGAGAGAGACGAAGAGTAAGGTATCTCTTACCAGACTGCAGTTTGATGGGAGTCCATCACACTGACAGACAGACTGATGTCCCTCTGTATCTGCCCCCTTCTTCTAAAAAATATTTTTTTTGATTTATTTATTTGCCCCCTTTTTCTAAACAATTTTCTTTTTTTTAATTTCACAGTGGAAGGGAGGAGAGATAGAATCATTAATGATGGGAGAGAATCACTGATAGGCTGCCTCCTGCACGCCCCCTAGTGGGGATCAAGCCACAACTGTGGCATGTGCCCTTGACCAGGAATCAAACGGTGACCTCCTGGTTCATAGGTTGACACTCAACCACTGAGACACTGGGGCAGGGCATTTGCCTCTTTTTATGGACCGAGAATCCAGCATTTGCAGCCTAAAGGAGGAATATCAAGAAGCATCTCCAATCCAGATGCCTCCTTTTGCTACTGCTGCTTCCTGGAGATACACTGACATCCCTTCCTGCCACTCCCCAAAGCAGGTACCAGGAAGGCTTCTGGGTGCCCTCCTGCAAGGGGCTGTTTAATGTCACGGTGCCAATCCTGAAAAGCTCCCACTTCCCTTTCCCACTGGATGTAGGGAGAAAGGAAAAGAAATGAGCTGGTTCTTATTCAGCATTAAAACAAAGCATGCCCTTTGTTGGGATGGTTCACTTTTAATGCTCTTTGCTTGCCAAGGCAGCATTCTGGGGATCCTGAGAGACTGGCTGTGGCTGGAGAGGGTGAGCCACGGTTAACTGTCATGTGTAATGTAGTTGTCCACCGGGGAAGGGAAGAAGCCACAGGCTGGCCACCTACATGCTGAATTACCACCTTTCGGCCCCCTCCCTGCCCTCCAACATAATGTCACCGTTTACCTGTCTCTGTGGCAGATGCAATAGGAGATCAGGAGTCCCGAAGTCCCAGTGGCTTCAGACTAGTTTCTCCACTCTGTAGTGCCAAACCATCCCGGAAAGTCCCCTGTGAGCTCATCCTGACCATCGGCCCACCCTAGCCAGACAGGGACACTATTCTTAACTCTCGAGAAGTATGAGCCGCACAGCCGGCATGACTCGGTGGTTGAGCGTTGACCTATGAACTATGAGATCACGATTCAATTGCTGGTCAGGACACATGCCCAGGGTTGTGGGCTCGGTCCCCAGTAAGAAGGGGCATGCAGGAAGCAGCTGATCAATGATTCTCTCTCATCATTGATGTTTCCATCTTTCTCTTCCTCTCCTTTCCTCTCTGAAATCAATAAAAAGATATATTTTTATATATAAAATAAGTGTGAGCATTTGATGGCACTCACTAAATTCTGAGCTAAATTCTGACCATTTTGTTTTTCCTAAGTGGCCAGAACAGATTTCTCCTTCTTTTTTCTTGATTGAGCATTTGTAAGACAGTGTCTCTCTCAGAGAAAACAACAGAAACATATTCATTAACGTTGATCTGGATCTCTGCTAACGGTAAGAATTTGGCATTATTACTGAGAGCTTTGGCCTGTCCTTGTTGCCTCTTCCTTTTACTAGCCCTCTATAGCAAGCTGCCTTCTGCACATTTTATGTGAAAGCCGGTTTTCCACAAGGATGAAAGCTGGCAGAGCAGGGAATGAAATGAGCACTAAGTTTTATTTCCTCCTAAATAATTATCCTCAAGGTGGGTAAACTTTTGGTCATTAAATTGCTAAAAACGAAGATTCTCTACTGCAAGAACAAATCTCCAAGTGACGATTATTTGTCTGTGATCTTAGCATTTATGAGTCTCAGTAAACAGTCAGGGCATTTATGTCCCACCCATTACCTTCGGTCATAAACTTCCTTAAAGAAAAAGGCATAATTATGTTTCCTGACTGCATAATGAGTGTAAACATTCTGCATACTGCCAGCCCCCGAGATGGTGCATCTAGACTGCCAGGAATTGAACTGTTTCTGGGGCATCGGCAAAAGTGGCAGGCTCACTGGATGGCCGTGATTGAGTGCCATTCAAGGAGACATCACCTCTGGAAGGCAAATTATAATTTGTGGGGCTATTTTTGGAGTTGGGGCCTCCCAGTCCGAAGATGCTGGGAATGGCTGGAAGTCCCATAGAACCCCTGGCTGGAGGATGTCAACTTTGTTCTGCTGGAGTGAGCCTCCCCTTCCACGCAGGGGCCAGCCCCAGTATTTCTGTAGCTTATAAGAATCTCACCCAGCTGGTGTGGCTCAGTGGTTGAGCATCGACCTATAAACCAGGAGGTCACGGTTCGAGTCCTGGTCAGGGCATATTTCCTGGATTGAGGGCTCTTATCCCCTGTGGGTGGCGAGCAGGAGGCAGGCAATGACATGAGCACATCAATGATTCTCTCTCATAACTGATGGTTCTATTTCTCTCTTCCTTCTCACTGAAATCAATAAAAAAAATATTTTTTAAAAGATACAGTCTCATCTTAGTTCAACAAGTGCATCCTGGCATTGCAAAGTGTCAGAGTCAGAAATGGACCTTAAATTGACCTAATTGCAACCCACATTTGCACATGAGGTAACTGAGGCTCCCGCTGCGAAGTGGATCTTGCCAGGGTCAGTCTCTCACAGGCAAGAAGCTCCCCACTTCCTGGCTTGCGGTTTGGTGCTATTAATATCTTCCCAGGGGTCAGCAAGGTGGCACAGAGAGGGTCAGGAATACACACAGAAAAGAGAGTTAGGAAAACAAGAGGGTAAATTTCAGAGAGTGAAGTTTTTCCTTTGTAGTGCATGTTGGTTCCATTGTTCTTTACATTGCAATCAGAAAACACACCAAAGCAACTTACCACCAGCAGTGTGTAAATGAAAATGGAAAGAAAGGAGATAGTTGTATATTTTCTGGATCAAGACTTTTCAAACTATCTGTCACAAAGGACTGTTTTTTTTGTTCTTTTCTAACCAACCCTACCTAATATTTTTGCAAAACACACTAGAAGAAATCACTAGAAAAGTGAAATGAAAACAAAAACAAACAAAAGTAAAACAACAACAAAACACCCCAAACCACAGAATTTTAAAATACAAGTCCAAACTTTTATTATTTAGATACAAGAGACATACAATTCTTCTGAGAAGTTACTGGAAAGTTGCTGAACACATAATCCAGATCCCCGCACTTGCTGGTGCATGTGAGAGTCTGCTGGGCAGCGCCTGCCTTGGGAGCACACTTTGGGGAGCACTGCCCTTCGGCTCCTGTCCCCTTGTGTTTTGCACAATCATCTGGTTCTCTAAATTGGACTTTTCTGATAATAGCGATTGGGATCGGGGCATTTGTCATTCTTCACAGGCACTTTACTGTGGTGAATTACAGTTTTAGAAAAACGGATTGTTTCCCCTAATGTTAAAAACAAACAAAAACAAGTTTACAATGACAATGAAAACAGCTCCTGGAAAACTGTATGGATTCATATAGAGAACATGACTGTGGCTGAACTCTCTTAAGGGAGACTTCCTTTGGGGACTTTTGGGTTCACCTTGTTGGTGTATAAAGAGGATTGAAAATGTTAAGCGTGGCTAGTTGTCATTCAATTTGAATTCTCCCCATTCTTCTGTCCCCTGAAAGGCCTGTAAAGTGTTTCTGTGCTTCCATTAGGAGCAGGCTGGCCAGATTTAGGAAATAAACACACAGAATACCCAGCCAAATTGGCATCTCACACAAGCAATAAATACTTTCTATAAGGCCCCAGCCGGTTTGGTTCAGTGGATAGAGCGTCAGCCTGCAGACTGAAGGATCCCGGGTTTGATTCTGGTCAAGGGCACATGCCTGGATTGTGGGCTTGATCCCCAGTAGGGGGTGTGCAGGAGGCAGCCAATCAATGATTCCCTCTCATCTATATATATATATTAAAAACATACTTTCTATAAGGATGGCCCCAATAGTTCATGAGTCATGCCATATGCAATACTTGGGACACACTTATATGAAAATGTGTCTGAACTTCAAATTTCACTGGAGGTCTTATATTTGAGCTGGCAATTCCATTCAGTAGTAGCTTTCAGACTGGACTTGTGCATATCTGGATTTTTCTAGGGAAAAGAATCAGTTCAGCTGATCACATCTGGTCCTATCGATCCAACTTGCTTAGCTATTGACAGCGGGAAGCTGGACGGTCAATACAAAGTGATAATATTCCTTTAGAAAAATACGTTTTCCATGGGACAAAGCAGCCATTCATCTTTTCCCACTTTGAGACTTTCAGTTAGTGTTTTCCAAAGCTCTGGTTCAGTAATGGCACCGAGGCCAGGCAGAAGGTGAGCTGGTGAGAAGGGCCATTCGAATTGAGCAGCTACATTGGGACAAAATTGGCTCAGTGGATGGCAAATAGTGGAACTCTTTGCATGGAAATATAGAGGAAGACATAAAGATAGACAAAAATTAAGTCCCTACTCCTACAACATATTGTAAAACAAGCTGGCAGGGGTGCATTCATATTATTTTACAGATAACTTAATGAGAAACTCAGAAGCACAAAGACAGAATTAGTTTATGTTAAAAAATGTAAGTCTTGGATTCTTATGCAGTTTTTTTTTAAATCTTTTCAAAGACATGTCAGTGATAGCTGTTATTCTTTTATTCAATGAGGATGCTTGCTTTTGGGTCTTCCATGAGCATTTTGACATTTTTTGATAGAGAATTAATGCTCCTAGATTTTAAAGAAAGATTTACACTTTTCTTAAATTGATGTCTGATCCAGGTCAGAAGGAAATGGCTGCTTAAAATACACGGCAATTTATTTTGATACTGTCACCTCTGGTTGTTTAAACATTTCTTGTCAGCTAATAATAAGAAACATACCCAGAAATATACTTATTAAAATGTATTTTGAAATAATATCTATTTAAAATAATAAAATAGATACTCATTTTGGGACAAATTGGAAAATGTCAGTATTTATCAAAAAGAGAAGCAAGCCCTGGGTGATGTGGCTCAGTGGTTAGAGCACTGGCGTGTGCAACCAAGGGTCTCGGGTTTGATTCTGGGTCAAGGACATGTAACTGGGTTGCAGGTTTGACCCCAGCTCTGGTTGGGGCATGTGCAGGAGGCAACCAATCGATGTGTCTCTCTCACATCGTTGTTTCTCTCCTCCCTCTCCACCCCTGCTTCCTCCCTCCCTTCACTATCTCTAAAAGAAAAAAAATATCCTCAGGTGATTATTTAAAAAAAGAGAGAGAGAAGTAAAATTGCTACTAACCCCATCACAGAAAAAAGGTCCTACTGTTCTCCTATTCTCTTGTGTGTGTTTATATTTCATTGTTGAGAGCATATATAATGATGTGTTCTCATTTTTTTTCATTAGCTATTCAACTTAAGCATTTGCCAAATTGTGAAAATGTTTCTACGTATCACTTTAATGGTTGAATCATATTTTATAGTGAGTTTATTTAATGAACTTGAGTTGGGCATTCAGGTTTTTCTAATTTCCTATTCTTCAACTTCTAATGATGATCTGTTTTAGATACATAGAACTAATATTACTGGGTTACAAGAACAAAGACTTTTAAGGCTATATATTTTGTTAAGCTGTATTAAAAAGCATTATAGACATGTATTTGGAATGTATGAGTTCCCATTTCACTGAACTTCATTGCTACCATATTCCCCTTATTTTATTAACCTGTTGTGTTAGGGTTCTCCAGGGAACTGCAATGAGTAAGGTGTGTGTGTGTATATACACAGAGAGAGATTTATTTTAAGGAATTGGCACATGTGATTGTTGGGCTATCAAATCCACAGGTTATTGTTGGCAGGCTGGCGACTGAGGAAAGAGTTGATATTGAGCCCTGAGGCCAAAGGCATTCTGGTGATAGCACTTCTTTCTTCTTAAAAGATCTCAGTCTTTGTTCTTAAACCCTCACACTGTTTGAAGGAGGCCCACACACATTACGGAGAATAATCTGCTTTACTCAAAGTCTACTGATTTTTAAATGTTAATGACACCTAAAATAAATGCCTTACAACAATGTCTAGATTGGTGTTTGAATAAACAACTGGGCACCATAGCCCAGCCATGTTGACACATATAATTCGCCATCAGGCCTGCGGTACAAATAGAGTGTATGCTATTTGATGGAAGGTCGTGCCTGCTCTTTCTTCCCAGTTGTCTATTTATTCAATGCCATCTGTTTCTATGAAGACACACTCACTTATTTAAGGCTTTTATGTAGACTGTAAGTTTTCTGTTTTAAACACAAAGATTATCTCACCCAATTTTAGTATAAGGCATTTATAAGCTCTATCAAATGATGCTTAGGAACAAGCCTGGGGTTGGACTTTATACGGACACTAGAGGCCTGGTGCACGAATTTGTGCCTGCGAGATTGGGCCGAAATCGGCTCTCCAACATACCCTGAGGGGTTCCAGATTGTGAGAGGGCACAGACCATGCTCGAGAGACCCCACTGGTGCACAATTGGGGCCGAGGAAGGACACAGGAGGTTGGCCAGCCAGGGAGGAAACGTGGGAGGGCTCCAGGGCATGTCTGGCCCATCTCGCTCAGTCCCGATCGGCCGGACCCCAGCAGCAAGCTAACCTACTGGTTGGAGTGTCTGCCCTCTGTTGGTCAGTGCATGTCATAGTGACTGGTCAACAGGGTGACTGTCTGCCCCCAGGTGGTCAGTGCATGTCATAGCAAGCAGTTGAGTGGCCTTAGCATATCATTAGCATATTACACTTTGATTGGTTGAATGGCTGGCCAGACACTTAGCATATTAGGCTTTTTTTATATAGGATAAGTCACAAATAGCCCGCTACCATGTTATAACTGGGTGTGAACTTGGATGGGGTAGTTAAGCCCCATCCCTCTCAATTTTTTTAAACAGTAAAGTCTGAAATATCATATCCACTTTCCAGGTGTTTGTGAGTTTTAACTGAGGAAGCATTTATAAACTTCTTGTATAGTGTCTAGTATGTAATAGGACATCTGTGTTTTAGTTCTTTGCCTCCTTCACCTTTTTTTTAAGTTAGCCAATACCACACCCCAGTGCTCACTCCCAATAGTCAGTGCAGAAAAAATATTTTCCTCCTTTAGACACTAGAAACTGTAGCAGGTCTCCCAGAAAACTTAACAGTTTTTGCTTTTGAGTACATGTCTCATTTCCCCTTTTATTATTCAGAAAGAATCATACATCAATGGCTGGTAGATAAATGAAATGATTTTGGTGAACATTTATTCATTCACTTAACAAGCATTTTTTAATTGTGTATTACATCCCAAGGACAGTTCTAGGTGCTGGAGATAGGACAGTGACATTATATATTAATAGAGGCCTGGTGCACGACATTCATGCACTCAAGGTGGGGGAGGGTCCCTCCGCCTGGCCTGCGCCCTTTTTCAGTCCGGGAGCCCTTGAGGGATGTCTGACTGACTGCTTAGGCTCGTTCCCCATGGGCCTAAGCTACTGCCAATGTGCTCGCCAGTCATCAGCTGACTTCTGGCTGAGCGGCACTCTCTCTGTGGGAGCGCACTGACCACCAGGGGGCAGCTCCTGCATTGAGTGCCTGCCTCCTGGTGGTCAGTGTGCATCATAGCAACCGGTCATTCCACTGTTCAGTTGATTTGCATATCACCCTTTTATTATATAGGATAGGATTCCTGCCCTTTGGACCTCAGGTATTAGTGGGGAGACACTCAAACAAGGAAATCAACAATTATAGACTCAAACTACAAGTACTGTCATATTAGGCAGGGTCAACTAGGTAATGCTGTGGTTGTGACCAAATCTCAATAGCATAATTCAATAAAGGTTCATTTCTCACTCAGGACAAATCAATGGCTGGTCCAGGTGACTATTTAAGGAAGTTGTGTTCAGCCTTCCAAGATGTTCCCTCTATATCAGCAGGTGCTTTCATCAGAGATGAGTGGGCTGGAGAATTAAATAACAACAGTTAAAAGCATTTACATGTTACTTCTGCTTCATATTTCATTGGCTATAATATGTCATGTGCTCATGCCTACTTTAAATGAAGTGGAGAGTATGTCTTGGTAATCCCAGTGGTAAAAGAGAGCCAGAGGTACCTACAAAGTATTAAGTGTTACAAAAAAGTGTGTATGGAAAGTGAGAGGGCCTTAGCTGATTTTGGTCAGTGATTAGAGCCTCAGCCCACAGACCAAAGGGTTGTGTGTTTGATTCCTGGTCAAGGGCATGTACCTCGATTATAGCCTCAATTCCAGCTCAGGTCAGAGCCTGTATCAGGGCACATGCAGGAGGCAGGCAATCAATGTGCCCTTCTCACATTGATGTTTCTCTCTCTCTCTCTCTCCCCGCCCCTCCCTGCCTCCTCCCTTCTTTCTCCTTCCTCCCTTTCGTCACTCTTTCTAAAAATCAATGGAAAAATATCCTTGATGAGGAATAAAGAAAACAGAAAGTGAGAAGATATTATGTATTTTTTGCAAATATAATAGAAACAAAATAAATCTGAGCTTTTATGTACATTATTGCTTAGAATTATAATAAAGTATGCATTTAAAACAAGCAAACATGGAGTCAACTTAAAAAATTATTTAATAATGCTTGCTATAAATAGGTACTCAGATATGAGAAAACACATTAAGGTCCTTTACCAATGGTGATGTTTGCTAGATATAGAGTTACTAAGTCTACTTGAGGACAGGGTAAAAATATTTATATAGGTATCCTTGAGTATTCAGGCACATAGTAGATGCTCAATAAAACTTTGTTGAAATTAATAATGATTATTGCTTTAAATTATTCTTGCTTTGCCCTGGCTGGATGGCTCATTTGGTTGGAGTATCATCCCATACACCAAAAGGTTGCAGGTTCAATTTTCCGTCAGGGCACATACCTATATTGTGGGTTCCAACCCGGATTGGGGTGTGTATAGGAGGCGACTGGTTGATGTTTCTCTTTTATATTGATAAAATCCCTCTCTCTTCCTCTCTTAGTCTTTCTAAAAAATTAATAAAAACATATGATTGGGTCAAGATTAAAAAATATATTATGCCCTAGCCCAGGGATGGCGAACCTAGGACAGTTGTAGGTTCAACTCATTTTTTTGGTTGATTTTTTCTTTGTTAAATGGCATTTAAATATATAAAATAAATATCAAAAATATAAATCTTTGTTTTACTATGATTGCAAATATCAAAAAATGTCTATTTGTGACACGGCACCAGAGTTAAGTTAGGGTTTTTCATCACTTAGAAATTTTTTGATCTTTGCAACCATAGTAAAACAAAGACTTATATTTTTGATATTTATTTTATATATTTAAATGACATTTAACAAAGAAAAATCAACCAAAAAATGAGTTCACGTGTCATAGGTTCGCCATCACTGGTATTGGCCCTCAGACTGAAGAGTCCTGGGTTCGATTCTGGTTAAAGGCACGTACCTCAGTTGCAAGCTCAATCCCTGGCTCTGGTCAGGCACATGCAGGGGGCAACCAATTGATGTGTCTCTCTCACATCGAGGTTTTTCTTTCTCTGTCTTTCCCCTCCCTCCCTCCCACTCTCTCTAAAAATCAATGGAAAAATATAGTTGGGTGAGGATTAACAACAACAATAAAAATGTATATATCTTTATTATTATTTACTTTATATTTGATTAATGCTCGAGTCCAATACAATTTTATCCTGAGGCTTGAAATTTTCTTCCAAGGCCAATATTTATTGGTTTTATCTACATTAATATTTTCCCATTAAGTTATAATTTTAAGTTTAACCACACGTGGTTGAATCACTTAGTCTCTTTTTCCTAACTTGACTCAAGTATTTTCTTAAGCCATTGGAGAAAACGAAGTTATAACATTACTTTAATGTTGGAATTTGCAATCTACCACCTTGCATTTTTTTAAAACCAACTCTTACGTTTACTACTCCTTTGGAAATTACTGTATTGAAAAGGAATCCACAGATTTAAATATAGAAGGCAGAAGATGCCAAATAAAAAACATTCAAGGTCATGAATGTCTTCTTTTTTAAAAATATATTTTTTATTGATTTCAGAGAGAAAGAGAGAGTGAGAGATAGAAACATCAATGATGAGAAAGAATCATTGATCAGCCCTGACCGGTTTGGCTCAGTGGATAGAGCATCGGCTACGGACTGAAGTGTCCTGGGTTTGATTCCAGTCAAGGGCATGTACCTTGGTTGTTGGCACATCCCCAGTAAGGGGTGTGTGGGAGGTAGCTGATCAATGTTTCTCTCTCATCGATGTTTCTGACTCTCTATCCCTCTTCCTTCCTCTCTGTAAAAAATCAATAAAGTATATATTTTGAAAAAGAATCAATGATCAGCTGCCTCTTGCAAGCCCCCCACTGGGTATTGAGCCTGCAACCCCAGCATATGCCCTGACCAGGAATGTGAACCGTGACCTCCTGGTTCACAGGTGGATGCTCAACCGCTGAGCCATGTTGGGCGGGCATGAATGTCTTCTTGAAGATAGACTAATATACGTGGTTTCAAAGACAGTACAATTATGTTCTTTTCTTTTATCTCCACTATTCTTTTTCTTTGCTTTTGACTAAGTCTTTAGAATTTAAAAAAAAAAAAAACTCCCAAGAGAGGACTCAGTTTTTTTGGGGGGTGGAGGGGGTGGATAGGTCAAGGACCAATGAGAAGAGAGTCTCCATCTCTATCCTCTGAGTCTTGACCCTCATTTCAGCACCATCACTTCTCTACTCTGATGGTGTGTCTGAGGCATTGCCTCATTCCTGTTTGCCAAGAACTTGTCTAAAAAAAGGACCTCTCCATTCTGTGCTGTGAGTCACGTGGTCTCTGTAAGAGTCCATGCCCTTCGCTGCAGTTTGCTGCTCCTGAATCTGTACGAAATTTGGTGGTTAGTTGGCAAAAGGTACACAGCAGACTTCTGATTTAGAGAGTGTCTTAAACGAGTTACCTCCTACCTTACCTCGATCATTTAAATCAGTGGTTCTCAACCTTGGCTGCACCTTAGAATCACCTGGGAATCTTTTTAAAATCCTGATTTCTGGGCCTCATCCTCCGGAAATTCTGTGTCTTTGTTACTAATGTTATGGCCTCACCCCATACAAGGCCAAAGTTAACAGAACCTCTCCAGATTTCATTACCTCTTTAGCTTGAACTAATTGAAATCAACTGAGGTCCCCACTCCATAATAAAGAAACAGAATTTCCAGAGGATGAGGCCCAGAAATCAGGATTTTAAAAAGATTCCCAGGTGATTCTAAGGTGCAGCCAAGGTTGAGAACCACTGATTTAAATGGAAAGCAGTACTGCTCCAACAGAGCAGACATGATATGAAAACTATTCCTTTTTAAAAAATGTTTATTATATATATTTTTTATTGATTTCAGAGAGGAAGAGAGAGGGAGAGATAGATAGAAACATCAATGATGAGAGAGAATCATTGATTGGCTGCCTCCTGCACACCCCACACTGGGGATCGAGCCCGAAACCCAGGCATGTGCCCTTGGCCGGAATCAAACCCAGGGCCCTTCAATCCGCAGGAAACATCGATGGTAGAGAAACATCGATCAGCCGCCTCCCGTACATCTCCCACTGGGGATGTGCCCACAACCCAGGCACATGCCCCCGACCGGAATCGAACCCGGGACCCCCCAGTCCGCAGGCCGATGCTCCATCCACTGAGCCAACCCGGCTAGGGCTGAAAACTATTTCTGACATGAGTATCTTCCCTCCAAAACTGGCAAGGCCACTGGTTTCTCTGAGGGGGAAAGTTAAAAAAAAACACAGCAAACACATGGGTTTTACAATTCTCACAAATGGTAAGCCACCTTTCTGCTATTTAAGAAAAGCTTTGAATGTTCAATGAATTGTTTTGGCTAATGACAATTGATGCAAAGAATATAACAATAATCTAAAAAAACCCAGAATTGCCTTTTGTGGCCATTTGGGCACAAATTGCTGATAACATCAGTGCAGGTAACTGGGCTATAGCTTGGGGTGAGGAGTTATTTTACCTCTTATTTGCAAATAAGACAGTATTCTTTTCCCCTCAGGGAGTACCTAGATCTTATTAATAGAAGAACACTGATACCCTTTGCCCATGGTGGTGAAATTGGCCGAGGCAGTCCTAGGATCCTGAGCATATGGGTCTTAGCATTTGGAGGAGGACATTTGAGGAGGACAGCAGTCTGTAGTTGAAGATGCCTAGATCTAAAGCCAGACACTTGGATACAGTCCTGGCTGCAGACTATCAACTGTCACGAATTGAGCTGTCCATACCAAGTTCTCACCAAGGCTTTTACAGTCTGGCTCCAGGGTTCCTCCGCAGAGCTATTTTTATAGTCTTTACTCTTCACTTGCTCCATTCCAGCCCCGGCACCAGTTCTCACACATTCCAGAGACACGCTCTTGTTGCCAGGCTTTCTGTGCTGTTCCCTCTGCCCGGAATGCTCTTCCCCCAGACACAAGCTTACCTTTTTTTTTTTTTTTAAAGCAGATCCAATATGTTCCACATATTATAAATACTTCACATGTTTACTTGGTGAATTCTGATAGTAATTGTCGGGCGTGGGCAGTGCCATTGGATGGATGGGAATAAATGGGGGCACAGTGATACGTCAGAGGCAGGACTGGAACTAAGGCAGTTCAGGTGGGAGCCAAGGCTTGATTCTTACAGTCTAACACAGTGCTTCTCAACCTGTGGGTGGCGACCCCTTTGGGGGGGTCGAACAACCCTTTCACAGGGGTCGCCTAAGACCATCGGAAAACACATACATAATTACATACTGTTTTTGTGATTAATCACTATGCTTTAATTATGTTCAATTTGTAACAATGAAATTGGGGGTCACCACACACATGAGGAACTGTATTAAAGCGTCGCAGCATTAGGAAGGTTGAGAACCACTGGTCTAACACCAGGACATGGTTTACACTCTTCCTTTAACCCCCGAGCTCC